TATCATCGCATACAACTTTTCCCCTCCGTACTATGGCGAGCAAAACGTAAAACATATTATGCTTAAAAAATAAACTTTTCAGCTAATACTTATTTTTTTTTTTTTTTTTTTTTATTTTTTTTTTTTTTTTTTTTGATTTAGCATACGTACTATGGCTATTTATACACAGTATATGCGTATGGTTGCAAATAATAAATTGAAAAGCGTCATTTATTTTATCCATGCTCAGACACGTGTTCTGTTCGTACATAGTAAAATATGTACATATGTATGTACGATATAAGTTTGTACATATGTAACTATGAAAATATGCGCGTTTTTGACGACTTTATGTACATATTTATGTATGTAGCTACCACATATATTTCAGTGCCACGATTATTTGAAATATTTTTAAATTTAAAAATAAAAAAAGCAGAAATTTAAATTTCTATAATAATAACCTTTATTTTGAAATTTCAATCTTAAATAATCTGGAAATTTCAAACTATACTGTATATAATTTTAAAATTCTGAATTTGGCATCCCCACGGCTACGCAAATTAACGCTGAGTTGCACTCAGCTAAGCTCCTTCAGAATCGTTACCGTTAACGATACCAAACGAGGCATCGAACAAGGTCACTTTTTATCGTACGATTTCTTCAAGTTATTGCTGTCCCCTTTCTCGCTGAACTACATATGACAAAATCGCCGTATGCCTCATACAGCTCATCGTTCGCCGTGCCCAATGCGCAAATACCACTCCGTAACTATGAACGACTTGTAGAGTTTGGTCTTTGTCCGATGAGAGAGAACTTTACATTTCATTTGCCTACTCAGTCCAATGTATCAACTGTTGGCAACAGTGCGTTATGCATTTGATTTGAAAGACTGTTGATGTTGGTTCCAACATAGATGAAATTATCTACGTCTTCAAAGTCATGATTGTCAACAATGACGTGGGAGTCGAGTTGGGAATGAGTTGTCTGTTCATTTGATGATGAGATATATTTAGTTTTGCCCTCATTCACAAGCAGACCCATTCGCCTCGCTTCTTTAGCGAGGTTGGAGAAAACAAAACTCACGATGCGGTGCTTGAGGCCAATAATATCAATATCATCAACGTATACCAGTATTTGTACACTCTTTTCGGTTTTCTCCAGCTCGGTGAGGTCTTGCCCAATCTGGAGATGTTGGTGTTTTTCAACGTTATTTTACATAGCCGTAAGTAAGTTTTTCGAGTATAAAAAATTCTAATTTAGCGGCATTGAAGAAGCTACTTTTCGTGTAGTTGAAGTTTGCATTGCTGGTGGGCTTTAGTCTTTCTCACAGTACGTTCGATAATAACTTATATGCGATATTTAGGAGCTTTATTCCACTTATTCCACAAAATATTTCCCACATTGATTTTCGTGAATATTGCGGGAGTGACTGTCCTTGGTCGGTTAAAAAATCCGGATCGCTCCGGTATAAAGACCTGAAAGTCCAAGGATTTTAGTCGCCTCTTACGACAGGCATGCCTTACCATGGGTAAATTCTAATACGCCAAAGAACTTAGGTTTTAATCGACGGCCATGCTTTCATCCGACCATATAAGGCAGGGAAGTTGATGCATGCAACTTGTCAGTTCTTCGAGCTCATATTTGATTAACGCGGCTCCTGCTGTGAATACAGTTTGCTCATTTTTATATTTTATTTTTTTTATTTTTTTTTTTTTAAATCTAATATTGTATTTTATTAAACTCTAACATACAATATTTGGCTAGACTAAGCTGAAATAAGTTCAAATTGTTTAATATACTTGCACATACAAGATGTATTCAACATACTTTTATTATCTTTCTTGAACTTCATGTTTGTGTGTATATGTCGATTATTTTTATTTTTTGTCTTGCGTACTCGTTTTGTGCTGTCTAAATAATATTTGCTTTTACTCATTTACATATTTACTTATTTGCTTACATATTTTGGTACACTTTGCCTCAAATGTTATCATACAGCTACCATGCTAATAGTATTAGGTATATTTCCTATTGATAGATATGTATTCTATAATTTTTAATTGCTTATGCCTTTATGGATTTAAATGTTAAATGTTTACAAAAAAATTGTTCAGATCTTTGATTAAATTTATTTAAATGTTTAGTACTTAATTAAATGCAAAGGAATGTTTTCTCTTATTCTTCAAAATATGCCAAAACTGCCTCTTTGACTTCATCATCGGTGTTAAATTTTTATCCTTGAGCTCTTTTTCCATTTTTAGGCTAATGTAAAGCGGTTGTTGTTATTGTGCAGGCGTTGGCTTACCTTAGTTGCGTTGAGATGTTCGTGAAGGATCTCGAAAAAGTTTGTATTGAACCATTTCTGCGAGTTGTTTCTTCTTTAGACGACTGACGATGGCTATTTTTCAACTTTTTTGATAAGTTTTGGCATGGCCACGTCAATGCCCGGCCTCAGGTCAAATTCAAGCAATTCCTGCACTTGTTTAAATAAACTGTGGCATTTGTCTTTCCGGACAAGATTCGGCGTAAGCTAATGAAAGTTATTAACACCAATGGGCCGAAGTTAGACTGGTAGATTGCTGAAGAAAGCAATCGCCCCGAAGCGTCCAGCTTTGACCAACAAAATGGGAATTGTGTTTCGTGAGGACAACGCCAGACCAAACACATCGATAGTGACTCGCCAGAAACGCCGAGAGTGTGGTTGGGACGTTCTTATGCATTCACTTTATAGTACAGTTTTCTCACCAAGTGATTAACACCCGATTCTGTGTATGGCTAATGATTTGGCTAGTGAAGAATTGGCCTCAAGGGGAGCTTGTGAAAATCGATTGTCCCATTTTTTCCCCTTAGGGACAAGGCTTGCTAGGAGAGAGGCATAATGTTATTACCATAAAAATGGCAAAAATGTAACGAGAAAAACAAAGTATATTTGACAGAACTCGAATAATTCTATCTATGGTAAATAAAGCCGTCAAAAATACTGAATTACATTTTTAGAAAAGTATTTGTCCTGAACCACAGAAGAATCAACTCACAGTCTAAAACACTCATCGTAATAAATATGACGTAGGTATCGCATAAAATTGGATTTTCCATGAAGTGGAACTGGTTCGGTTTGCTGAACTTTGTTCCAGAGGTAGCACTTTGCCCAAATTGACCTTTTTAATTCGGAAAATTAACCTAAGACCAATCTAAAATTGGGTTTTTTTCTCGATTTGCTGAAATTTTGGAAAACAAAAAGCTCTATGCCTAGGTTTATATTGGCAAAGCATCTTTTGGAGAATTGTAAATACCTCGAACCGATCTATCCGCCAAAATCCCATTTTTGTTTCGATATTTGTCCGATATTTGGAATATAGAAGATTCATTGCTAAGATTACTCTCTAAATAACTCTTGTTTTTGGAATGTGTACATGGAACCGAAGTGGATGTCCAATGGCTGTATAAATAGTTTTTTTTTTAAATTATTTCAAAATAGCAGAAGTAGACTTGAGTAAAAGCTGCTTCTCATAAGACCAGAGTAAGCGCCCAGAGTAGTGGCGATTGAATATTGGTTCCAAAGAGTTACTGCGATGGAAATAGTACTTCGAATATATTGTATCTATCACCAGATCAGCGAAGAAGGTTGGCCGCTTCCACAAAATAAAAAAAAAAATTTTATTTAATTTTCATGTTAATTTAAAAATTTCATTTCCAACACTACAAAAAAATTATTGTTATATTTTATGAGAATTGAAACATTTAACATAATAATAACGAGATCCCTGGTAAAAAACTAGTATAACTTAAAGGTTTTATCTCCAAAATATTGAAAATGTATGTATTTATGTTTGAAATTGAACTTATTATGATTTACATATGTAACGGGTTAACCATTTTGTGGTTTCGAAAAGATACGTAGATGAAATGTATTTAAAAATTTTTAAATATTTTCATGAAACTCCTTATAAAATTTGGATCTAGGCACTTCTTCATTCAAATGGGCGTCTCGTGAATTTTTACAAGCTTCGATCTGTTTGAGATAATTTTCGACCACTTTTTTGCACGTATTGGGCGGTATCTCGGTCATAACTTGCCGTATATGTTGTTTTCAAGTGTTCAAGAGTGAAAGTTTTATTCACATGCGCGTAGTCTTTTGCGTAGTCTCCACAGAACAAGTCCAACGGAGCCGAATCGCACGATCTCGGTGGAAAATTGGCATCGCTAGGAGGAGCGACTACACGGTTGGGAAATTTATTTCGCTATTAAACCATATTCTTCCGTGTTGTGTGGCCTGTGGCACCATCTTGTTAAAACCGTTGTTTCGAACATATTTTTCATTTACAGTAGCGATATTTGATGTGGAGCAAGTAAATGGATGATGCACAAGCCTTACAATACATACATACACGTATGTAACCGGCCCAGTATATACAGATTACTTTGAAATTTTACCAATTACTTGAGTAGCACGAATTATGGCTACATTTGAATCACAATTTTAATGCGTTGTTGTGGGGTTGTTAAGCCAACCATTTTCATAAGTCAGGCATTTATTTTTTTTTTTCACTAAAACAAAACGCGTTTGGTTTGACAGAAGATAAAATACAGTCCGGTACTTTTGAAGCCACGCATGTGTAGATTTAAAGTGAACTAATTCAATTCATACCTGCACCTGCTTATTTATCTATATGTATGTGTATGCATACATACATACATATTTAGTTCAGCTTTATAAATGTATGTCATGTAATGTGTTGTATTTTGTAGTCAATTAAGTAGTAAATTCAACATACATACACGTATGTATGTACATATGTAACGTAATTTAATATGTATAAACTTATTATGTATTAACATTGTTTTTGTTTATTTTCATATATCAATATATTTAGTATGTATTTACTTACATCCATATATATATATATATATATATGTACGAGTATGTATGTATGTATGTATATTGTAATTGTTGTTCCTCTTCTCTTTCTTAATACTTTTATACTTCTTTTGTTTTTTTTTTCTCTTTCTAATTTTAGATTGTTTTATTGCATATTTTGGTTGGTTGGTGGTTTGTTTTTGGTTGATAAACATTTGTTGCAAGCATTTACGCCAATGCAAGAATACATACATATAATGTATTATCTAAGTTCATATCTTCAACCTTTTTGTTTGGGAATTTACACTGAATTGCAACTACAAAACTACTAAAAAAAAAAACCCACAAACTCACGAGAGTGAGTGCTGTTTTTGCTATGCATTTTGGCGCTGGGAATCATGCGAGCGAACGCAAATCAGCTGGCGTAACGAAATTTTATATATATACATATACATATATAATATATAATACTTTAGAGAATATAATTAAATAACTACTACTCGCCACTACCATTTACTTAATACATAAAAAAAACAGTATATTTATTATCTTTACTTGGTACATAATGTTCCTATTTAATGCATACATATTTGAATATATTTACTTGTATTAATTATCTACACCTACATACTACAAACATATTTATTTATACACTTACTATTAACGACCATAATTGTTTCGATTCATTTGCTATTAATACACGTTTTTTGTACACATTCATAATAATTAAATAGCAACTCATTTGTACATTACTAGAATTAAAAAAAAAAAAGTATTTTGTCAGTCCTTCGTAGCATTTGTGATTTGAAAAATAAAAAACCTCTATTAACATTTTGATAATAAGTGCGAACAACTGTTTGGGCATTGAGGGCGAGAGCCCATCCAGTCCAGTCCAATCTAGTCCAACTGGGTGAAAATGGGAAATTTTTTTTTACAACGAGAGTGGTTAAAGCTTGATGAGACGCCAAAGCTTGTTTTTTTTATCATATCCATTATGATACAACTTTCTGACAAAGTTTCCCCGCAGCTTTCTAATTTATTTTAAGTTCCTTTCAATTTATTTAAAAAAAAGTCCATCCAAAAGCGAAAGCCTCGTTAAAGTAAATCAAAAGAAATTTAAGTGCATTAAATAAAACACAATACAAAAGAAAGTAGTTTCACTCAATATAAAATAGACAGTAAAAGATTTTTCGATATTCTAACTGATTTTGAAATTTTATTTTATTTTTATTTCTAACCATTTTTAATTTTATTTGTTTTCAAGAATTACTTCGAGATTCTTGTTATTACTGCATAAGGATGTTGGTTTAAATTAATGAACTACTGTCTTCCTCATGCAGAGGAAGATTTTTCCAGTTTTACCGTGAGTTCTTGTCACTCAGCCCTCCTAGCTGAGATTTCGAGTGAACGTGAATAAAAACTTTTGCATTTTTTTAATATCATATTTCATTTTTTTTATTAAATGAAGGAGAGTAGTAATTCAACGCCCCTATATGAACTAGTATTCAACTAGTATAAAGCTGATGCATAGTCCGACAACTGGCCGGCATTTTGTAGGGCATAGCCGTATTAAAAATAGTATTTGCTTACCTGGGAAACAGATAAAAGATGAACTAGTTGACTCAAAAATGCAACCGGTTGGATTCTAGTTAACTACTACAATGAGCAGAGTTGGTTTTTAATAAAACAATACTTTTTTCACAGTATTTGAAAGCTGTTACTTTATTTAAGACCAAAAAGTTTCCGGAAATTGTAACTAAACCGAAAAATTATTAATCTTAAGCAATATATATCCGTTTCGTCCTCAAAATATGTTCCTTCTGTAGCGCAATAAATATGCAAACTTTTTTTTTTGTTTTCAAAATCTCGAAACATGCCTTGTAGGCGCTGTGCGGGATCGCTTTCAATTCCCTCTGCGAATTTTCTTTTACTCCCTCAATAGAGTCGGAACGGATTGGTAATTTGAGTTTTGGAAGCAAAAAGTACTCGCATGGGTCAAATCCGTTGAGTACTGTGGTTGTTCGATGGTATTGAACGAGATTTATGGTTCACAACTACAGCTCGGTGCGATGGCGCATTAACGTCATGAACGTTTACGGAAATTGTTGGCCCACAATTTCGGCCGTTACGCAAAAATAATACTCTTTATTGACCGTCTGTTCCATTGAAACGAATTCATGATGAACCAAACTACGAATATCAAAAAAACCGATATCCACAAACCTTTTGGTCTTAATTATGTTCTTTTGGGCTTGCCATTTAATAGTAGTTAACGAACAAACCGACTCCGGAAAAATGTTTACAAATCAAGGAAAGTTTATCTATTACCAGAATAATGGTTTGTTTTGCGTGAATCTTACCGCCCTGCGTGCAATATTTGGTTGACATAATCGTTCAGCAGAGTTAGTAATTCGAGCAGCCATAGATCGGTTTCACATCACGTTTACTCCAGTAAGTTATGCGTATTCTCAGAGACACCATACAGTGCCCACTAATGACGTTATTGTCGCTGTGTAGCGAAGTATCGAAGAAGACCGCAATGACTCCTTCCGCCATCGCGAAAATTTTAGTGCTGTGCCCATTCACTTTATGCAAGATTTTTCCGGAAGGATCTTGTTTTCCGAGCTTACAAAATCCAACTCGTGCAATAATTAAAGGCATTCGACATAGTAAAGGTCGCACGTTCGGTGAAATGGCCCAGAACGAGATGGTCAACCAATTCTATTTGCACAAGAAACATTTGTTTAGCGATACAGCGAATTCACGTTAGCAAACCAAATTTTCGTATTGAGAGTGTAATCTATAGGCAGACAGAATCATGAGTCCATATTTCTTCAAAAATGATGATGGGCAGAATATTACAGTCGATGGGGAATGTTATAGAGGCATAACAAATAACTGATGGACAACTTTTGGTTACGGAAAGACGGCGCTATATGCCACACATACAACGAAACAATCAATTAAAGTTAATTTGAGGTGAGCGAATTATCAGTTTGGCTTCACGACTGGAATTTATGGCTGCCGCGGCGTTCAGTGCCCTGAAATCATATTTAAAACATAATCGTGAACGCTTATCTTTATAGTGAAGCCAAATTCTAGGCCATAACATAAAATTATGTGACTTTTATTTCGTACCTGAAAATCACATGTCTGAGAGAACAACCATTATTTTTCCCTGTTTGAAGTTCACATTCATTTACACACACGCACTCGTACATATTAATAACAATTAATGACCTTATATGCATTTTGACGCATTTCTTAACGTTTGAACCTTGTACTTATTATCTTCATTTTTATCAATTTTTTTTTTTAGTCAAATTTGGATTTGGAGCAAAAATTGAAAATAGTAAGCGCACTTTGAAAATAAGCAGCAATTATAAATAAATATAACGGTAGCAATGGACTTAAATTATACCAATACATATTGTATATGCGATTAATAACACAATGCTTTATAACTGAATTATTTAGTTTGTATATAAACATGTGTAACCGTAGTTGTTTTGTTAAAATTAGCTTTAAATGTAACCTCCAAAATATCTGTGTAACTTATTAAAAAAATATATATATATATATAATATATATATATAAAATTATACACATACATATTAATTTCTATGAAATGCATAACTGTGATTGTACTGTAATTACATACATATATTTTTAATTTTAGCTTAAGTATTTAATACCTAACTAAGAATAATAATTAAAAAAAAAATTTAAATTAAATTAAAAATATAAAAAAATGAAAATATGTAACAAATGCATACATACATACATATTTATGTAATTTTGCATACACTTTTTAATCTTAAATACTTTCTGTACATTACTTATTTATTTACTTTCGTATTTACTACTTGTACCGGCATTTTAACGAAAAATTGTAATGATATATACTTACTTAATATATACATATATATTTCTGTTTGCATAAAATTCCTCGTAATAAAAATATATATTATTTTTATCAAACAAAATAAAAAAACACACAATAAAAGCATTTAACCATTTGAAAAGCATAAATGTAAAAAAAAAAATTGTATTTGTTTTCATTATCGCTATGGCTTTTAGTACTTTGGTATTCACATATACGCGTACATATATTTATCTATAATATATATGTATGTGTATTTAATGTATTTGTGGGTTGTACATTTTTATTATTTCGCTCATTTTATCGCACCCCTTTATTTACACAACCCACTTCCTTTCACCTTTACACACCGTTTTGCCCATTGTCGGCGTTTTCCACCGCCTCTACCCTCTACCCTTCCACCCTATTACCGCTTAATTCACACATGCATACAAACATACATACATACATACATACGTATTTACTATATGTACGTGCATTGTACGTAATAATTGTACCTAATGTTGTTTAGCATCTGCACGCTTCTTACCAATTATAGCCTTAACGCGTCTCCTTCCTCTGCCGTTTGGCTTAAATGCATAATTTTGGAATTTCGGTAAGACATTTAACTCATAGTTTTCAAATTAAAATCTAATATTATTTTTACTCACACATGTATATTGTATACATACACATTAATTAGTATTTATGCATATGTGCATATACATATATATATATATATTATATATATATATATATAATATACATACAAACATCATAAATTTTATAAATTTCCAAAGCAATAAAGTAAATATGTATGGTGATAGAATGTATGTTAGTAGTAGAATGATGTACATATTTATACATATATGTATAAGTCCAAAAGTTACTCAGCAATTGTGCATGGATTTACATAGTTCAACTGAATAAAGGGTACTCCAATAAGAGTTGTTATATTGCTATTCAAAGAAACCTTTCGCTTAGAAAAAGACCGATTGTTTCGTTGCTTGCTTCCGGCCAAGAAAAATCATTATTTACCTCTCGTTAGCGCGATTCATTCATTTCCGAAAAAGTAAGGTCCAATGACGCCGCCGAGCCAAAAACCGCACCAAACAGTTACAGGTTGAGATGTCTTTTCAAGAACAAATCTTGACTTATCGAGCCCTAGATGCGAAAGTTGTGCTTACTGACGTAGCCATTTAGGTAGAAATGGGCCTCGTCAGTCAAGATGATTTTTCGCTAAAAATTGTATAATGAATTTTACTATTTCAGTGGGTTGTTGAAGTGTGTATCATCTATTTTTATAACTGGCGCTGGTTTTACTTATCAAATGGTAAAAAATCACAGCCTCAAAAGTGGATATTCAAAATAACACCTCTTATGGGAAAACCCTATTTTTGCAAATAATTTTTTATATATGATTGGAAACCTCTTTTCCTAGACTAACTCTCTTTATATATACAAATATATATAAATTGGTGCTTTTTAACCGCGAAAGAAGCGATTTTCGGCTGAGATCCTCCTCCAAATTGTGGCTTTCCGTCTTGATGTCTTTCCAACAAATAGAGGAACCGACAGTTTATGCTAAGCCGCCTCCGAACGGCTGATGGTGTTTTTTATAAGCAGCTCATGTCAGAAATACACTCGGAGGGGTGGAGATTTACTGCCGAGGGGCGACCGCAATTAGAAAAATTGATTTATTTTTTTTTTAATTAATTTTGTATAACTTTTGGATATTAGTCATACCAGTACTCGAACCCCGGCCTACCGAACGGCAGTGCGTAATGATAACCACTCTGCTGTGGCGGCCGCTACCCTCCAAGCACCTAAAGAAGTTTAAGGGCACTTAAAAAATTGCCCTCTCTTTGGAACGTCCAACAGCTGCACTTAATGCCACTCAATTTGAATGTAGCCTGTGTTCCACTTGAGAAAATAAAGAAACTTTAAGGAAATATTCGCTACTAGAAAACTAGCAATGGGCGGTAGAAAGAAACATATATTTTTATATTATGACCAATAACTTATTTTTAAGATTGGAGGACCGCCGCGGCTGGCTCGAATAAATTCCAGCTGAGAGGCAGTTTGCGAAGCCCATAGGCAGTGCCCCTTTAATGGCCTGGAGTCTGGCGTCTTTGCAGGTGATACATACTTTGTGAGTTTAATATTTTACTTTTACTCGTCTTCGGAGTTAATTCCCCTTACGAAGTAGTTTCTACTTTTTGCTTTCGCTTCACTTTCCTGAATGGCACTGGAAGGATCATTACGACGTCCTGTTCTAATTAGACACCCGACTTAGTCAGCCGTTAGCTATCTCGTTATCTACAGTAAATGTATATGTTTCAGACAGTACTAGAATCGCCGCTTTACATTAGCAGACCGCATCTGACTTCGTGCTTTTTGAAATTAAGGCCGTTTGGGTCGCTGGAAACCCCATTCGATGCTGAGGAAAATAAGTTTTTCAAATTTGTTAGGCTCTCGGCATGGAATGAAATAAAAGATACTCATACAAATCTATCGGCTGTTCAAATGCGGCTTAGAATAAGTTGTAGGTGCTTTCATTTGTTGAAGGAGAAGCTCGGCCGAGAATCGCTTCAGCGATTGCAAAGCGGACTGTTGACACACGGCGATACGTGATACAATACGTTCGTACAAGCCCACGGCTATGAATATTAGAAGACTCTAGGCAATTAAATCCTTATAAATATCAGAGCAAGCGTATAATAACGGTTTAAACTAACGGTATAATTATAGATACAATTTTTTGTTTTAAAGTTTCGCTTATTGAAAGCGGTTTCAGTTATTAAATTTGTAGTATTTAAATACAAGACTTAAACAAAAAAGGTCTAAATATTTATTTTTTTTTTACCGATTTTGTGTAGATTTGCCTGAATTGATACATACATACATACATATATACACATATCTATACATACAACTGTATGCTTATAAACAAACAATTCCTGGAGTACAACATATTTTATTCTTTCTTACTATTTTCAGTTAGTGTGTGTGTATGTTTTTGTGGATTCCCTCCAGCCAAAGTTCCGCGGATTTTCTCTACTTTCTGCCAACGCCAACCAACTCTGAATAAGCAAGTGTCGTACTTGTAATTTGCAAAAAAAAAAAAAAAAGGAAGAGATTTTTCTTTACACATACATAGATAATTAAAACCAAAACACAAACTTGCCGCCATGTTGAATCCCAATCATACGGGCGCCACTCGACGTCCATTCTCACGCAATGCACCAACTCGAAATCATCGCGGCCGTATGCTCTTCTCACCGCACAATCATTCACATCATATGTTGCAGCAACAGCAGCAGCAGCAGCAGCAACAACAACAACAACAGCAACTAAACGGACATAACCATACCCATGCGCACGGTCAAAGCCGAATGGGCGTTGGCAATTGCAATAGCGCCAGCAATAGTAGCGGAGCAGGAGGTGTTAGTTTGGGTGCCAGTGGTGGTGTCATGAGCAATGGTGGACAGTGGTACAATAGTAAGGACAACAATATGGACAACTGGAGTACAGTCGGGTAAGATTGTCTTATTTACGATTTCATTGCCTAACCGTTAAATCAAATACATATAAGTATTATTATGAATTTAGAAATTAACTACATTTTATTATTAATTTATAAAGTAAACCCTTAAGAGAAATAATGCCCAAAACCATATCATAATTCCATTCCTCAATCCTTAATTTTACCGTAATACCAACACCAAATTACAGCCACCTTAACCTTTGCCACCACCTCCACCCCCACTTCCACGTCTTTTAGCTCCACCTCTGGTTCCACAATCAAATTTTAACAAAAAAAAAAAAAAACAACAACAAAATTTTGTAATAACTATAACTACATTTCAAATAATCCGATATTACTACTACCTCAAACGTAATTGCTTTAGGCTAAAGGGTGAATTTTGTAATTAATAAAACCGTTAACTTTCGGTATAGACTAATTTACATATAACAACTAAGAAAACCGTCTAAAAAGCGAACACAACTTACCTACATACATACATTCATACATACATACATATATGTATATAATGCCAACGGAAATGAAAAGCGCTTTGGTCAAATGCAAAAATTAAAAGCAAAATATAACGTAAAATTAAAAAAAAAATATATATATATATATATTAGTTGCATTCATTTCACTTCCGTGCATTTGTATAATGTTTTTCAGTTTTTATTAACCCATCAAAGTGTGTTTTATAAACTCTTTGCGTTTGACCTTCTCATTTGATTGACTCTCTTTTCTGGAATTACAAAAAAAAAGAACGAAAGAAAAGCAAAAAAAAAATCGCACTTCTATTGCCATCAACTCATACAAAAAATCATAAATATAGTACACTTACATACACACATACATACATATATTGTATGTACAATATTTAAAACATAATTGGAAAGCAATAAATAATTTCCCTTCATACTAGCAAACATACTTACATACATATACATATGTATTTAATAACGCAACATTCACCAATAATTAATTATTTAGCAAATGACTTGACGATCTTTCAAAAAAAAAAATCGAGTTACACTGTATTTGTTACAGTATTTAACAACAATGTAGGTTTCGAAAGCATTGCAGCAATTCTCCCCATTGTTGTTGCTTTACAGGCACGACTTCAATAAAACTAGAAGCGCATTATGTTCAGGTAGTAAGGAAATTGCCAAGCGGACTTCATAAAGTACAATTTTCAAAAAAAAAAAAAAAAAAAAAAAAAAATGATTTCGTGATCATTTTTCGATGAGAATGACGTTAGGGCGTGAAGTCTTCATACGAGTATATCCTAGTGTCTTCCAAAAATAATCAGAATGGTCCGTTTAATCACATCTTGCTTGATATAGAGGGCGATTTGAATAGACATGTGGTTAAGTTGTATTGTGGTGGTTACTGATCTGTGGTATCGGACTTGTGATTACACCCTCAATTGGCTTCATTATCCAGCCAATTTGATTCTCTAATGAACCTCATTAGACCCTAGACTTTGATATCGGCTAACTTTGATGGACCATCCAAAAGTAGGAATCCAAAATACCGAAAGCAGTATTGTCGCAAAAAAAGTCGGTTGATCGTTTCCTCCGCCTCATCCCCTTTGCAGCTTCTGCAGCATTTTCTATAGGAAACCTCTAGTCTTTCCGCGTGTTGTCCAGTGGCCCGTCAGAACTCCTATTACTTTGGACATGTCGCCTCTTTTTAGAGCGTATATATCTAGCGATTTTTCCTTATCCCATTTTGGACAGGTGTGCCTGGACCTGCGGTAGGTTGTAGTATCATTTCCCCTTGATGTGGCATGTTCATATGTAAACAACTTTAGAAGGTAGTTTGCAGGTGGCAAAAGATTCGATCTTTATCAAGAAGAATCTGCATGGTCGTACTTTGCATAGCACGCTCATCCATCTTACAGTTTCCGTCGCTGTCCTTTTGACCAGGAACCCACGTGAGAGACAGCCTGTTCTGTTTGGCTATTTTCTGTAGAGATCACAGTTCGGCGACAGTCCAGCACTAACTTTAAGTTTAGTGTAAGCGAGCCCAGGATTTTTTTTTGCAGCTCGATTTTCGCCGAAAATAAAAATATCCTTATCTTTATAGCTGTCTCCGAGTTTCTTTGCAGCCTCCATGATAGCAAATACCTACGCCTGGAAAACAAGAAGATATAAAACGCATATAATTTAATGCTATGGCAAAGAATTAAACTTTAATATATAGATAACAGTTCCCTTTTAAAGCGTCAAGCGACGCGCAGTTATCTGCGTAAATAATGCGACAAAAGTTTCCTTTAATAAATTAATTGTTTCGATGGATGTACGACATCGCCCACATCATCAACATCCTCCAATTGGGACACATAAAAGTACTTAATCAGGCTTAATTTTTAAAGAAATGTATATACTCGTATACCAACAATTCTCTCTGCCTATAGAGCACCTCAAACTGTGACTTTTTGGTGATGTAACGGAGTCTCAGCTATTGCGGTGACCATCTCGTTTTGGACCCATTCACCGAATGTATGACGCGCTTGATAGTCGTTCGGCTTGTAACGATAGATGACGAATGTTTTGAGTTACTCAAAGGTCCGTGAAGAAAACTATGCAGCGTTAAGTCAAATGTTCTTTCTTCTCTACATAGTTATACACCCAGTCAAAGGTTTTAAATGGATGTCCCTTGCAGGATCATTCGCTTCTTTTACCTTGCTTTTACTAAATTGTTTATGCCAAAACTATAACCGACCTTGTTTCGGCGGCTACAGTTTATGAGTACAACTAAGTGCCAAACACTAAATCTCTAAGCTTTTGTGTTGTATAAAAACTGCAGTCCTTTCGTAAATTTTCCACGACTTTTCTCTTTAATTGCTGCTTTTAGTCGCTCTCTTATATTGGAGCTCAATAATACTTCTTCCGAGTGCCTTAAGTGAGTTGCCAGGAGCTTCTCAGCTGAAATCGACACATTATAGTTCTTGGGCGGTGCTGAGTCGTTTTTTATGTTGTTTCGACTCATGTTCATATTGGTAAACTCAAGTTTCATCTTCATTAACAGTTCGAGTCAATACATCATCTTTCTCTTCAATACAGAGATTCAAAAATTTACGTTAACACTGCATGCGCTTTTCTGCTTGTGAAGGCATGCGCAATCTCGGTATCCAACTTGCGCGGACCTTTGTCATCCCAAAATGATCGTGTAGGAATACTCCGATTTTTGCGAGTCGTTTCTTCTTTAGGCGAGTATCGTTCGGGACGATTTTTGTACTTTTTATATAAGCTTTGGCGTGGTCACTGTAATGTTTCAGCCCTGCCTCGGGTCATCTTCAAGGGATTTCCTTCCTTTTTGTTTAAATACACTGTGCCACTTGTCCGTCAACGTTTCAAGAGTCGCTGTAAACCAATGACAATCCCATTCAATGTAGCGTCAACTGATTTTCTTCATTTGTTATTTTACTTTTCATTACCGATTATGTTGCTTGGTTGTCGAATAACAATGAAACCTCGTGTACGAATTATGAGTCCTGATTAGCCTAATAGAGGGAAGATACACTCTCATACCCCGAAACGCTCATTTCTCTTTCTTTTTTACTGGCGTAGGAGTGGCTTAGGTAATTATAGCCGAATTAACAACACTGCGCCATTCATATCTTCTTTTCGCTGTTGGACGTCAATTGGAAATACTAAATACAGCCAGTCCAATGTCGCCGTATAACTCGTACAGCACATAGTTCCATCGTCTGCAGTACTTGCCGCCCCCAACACATAGAGGACCGTAAATTTTACGCAAAACCCCTTCTCTCGAAAACCCCTAACGACGACTCATCAGATGTTGTCATCATCCATGCCTCCGCACCATATACCGGGACGGGAACGACCCGCGACTTGTAGAGTTTGGTTTTCGCTCGGCCAGAGATTACTTTACCTTTCTTTTATCTACTCAGTGCAAAGTAGTAGCTGTTGACAAAGGTGATTCTGTGCTGGATCGCCAGGCTGAGATTGTTGTTGGTGTTATACCGGTTCCTAAATAGACGAAGTTATCTGCGACTTCAAAGTTATAACCGTCAGCAGTGACATGAGAGCCGAGTCGCGAGTGCTTTGACTGCGTGATATTTCCTCTTGTCCTCGTTCACTATTAGATCCATATATTTCGCTTCCTTATGCAGCCTGCAATAATGGCAATATCATCAGCGAACTTGTATAGAAAAAATTACTTTAGTTGCCGAAACATATACTGCTTACTTACATACATACATACATGTACATAAATATTAAAAAACATTTTAATGCAATAACGCATATCAAAGGCTAAAATAAAAAAAAAAAACAAACGACCTGTACTCCCCACCATAAGGATGCTTTCCGAAAATCTAACCCACTCATATTTGACTGACTTAAAGATGATCGAAGAAACACATTTTATACAAAAAAAAAAAAAACAAAAAAACAAAAAACTCTAACGTAACCCACGGAAATACTGTCGCACCAACCAACCTCCAATATTCGTGTACTCATTCAACTCTAAAAATGAGAAAATGCATGAAAAGCACATAAAATGTGTTAATTACTTATTCGTGAGTTCGTTTTTCCTTCAACTCGTAATTGTTCGTAGCGCAAGCGAAAGCAAACTTCAAATTATTGTATATTTGTAGTTAAATTGAAAACAAAAAAGAAAAATTATATTAAAATTAAATTAAACTAAAACAAGATCTAAACTTTTTTTTTTATAAATATTATATAATAATGATCACTGCTTGTTGTTGGCTCCAAATCAAAAATCAAAATGTACAATACATAAGTAATAGCGACACCATTGTGTATGTATGTAGTTTTAAATTAATATTCAATTGAACTGCTTTTACCAACGTCAGCTAAATGTTAATTAAATAATATTTTAACAAAATATCAAAAACCAAAAAACAAAAAAACAAAAAAAAAAAAACATCAAGCCGCACATAATTCATACCTTATTAAAAGTACATATTACATTTATACTTTCGTAAATTGTATATCTTTTTTTCTCTTTACACACATACA